TTGGAGAAATGGTCTGAGGTAAACAGGATGAAGTTTAATAAAGACAAATGTAAAGTACTCCACTTAGAAAGGAACAATCAGTTTCACACATACAGAATGGGAAGCAACTGTCTAGGAAGGAGTACGGCAGAAAGGGATCTAGGGATTATAGTGGACCACAAGCTGAATATGAGTCAGCAGTGTGATGCTGTTGCAAAAAAAGCAAACATGATCCTGGGATGCATTAACAGGTGCGTTGTGAGCAAGACACTAGAAATCATTCTTCCGCTCTACTCTGCGCTGGTTAGGCCTCAGTTGGAGTATTGTGTCCAGTTCTGAGCACCACATTTCAAGAAAGATGTGGAGAAATTGGAGAGGGTCCAGAGAAGAGCAACAAGAATGATTAAAGGTCTAGAGAACATGACCTATGAAGGAAGGCTGAAAGAACTGTGTTTGTTTAGTTTAGAAAAGAGAAGACTGAGGGGGGACATGATAGTCGTTTTCAGGTATCTAAAAGGGTGTCATAAGGAGGAGGGAGAAAACTTGTTCATCTTGGCCTCCGGTCTAGAGAACATGACCTATGAAGGAAAGCTGAAAGAATTAGGTTTCTTTAGTTTAGAAAAGAGAAGATTGAACGGGGACATGATCGCATTTTTCAGGTATCTAAAAGGGTGTCATAAGGAGGAGGGAGAAAACTTGTTCATCTTGGCCTCTGAGGATAGAACAAGAAGCAATGGGCTTAAACTGCAGCAAGGGAAGTTTAGGTTGGACATTAGGAAAAAGCTGTCAGGGTAGTCAAACACTGGAATAAATTGCTCAGGGAGATTGTGGAATCCCCATCTCTGGAAATATTTTAGAGTAGGTTAGATAAATGTCTATCAAAGATGGTCTAGGCAGTATTTGGTCCTGCCATGGGGACAGGGGACTGGACTCGATGACCTCTCGAGGTCCCTTCCAGTCCTAGTATTCTATGATTCTATGATGATTATCACCTAATTTTCCTTTATATGCTTACAAATTGATTGTTTAATTTGTACTTGTATATTTCTGGGTATCAAAGTTCAAATAACTGATCTATAATCCCTAGGTCCTCCTTTCACTTACTTTTAAAGATAGGTTCTGTGTTTGGCCTTCTCCAATAGTCTGTATCATCATCCATCCTCCACAAATTCAACAAGGTAATTGCTAATATTTCAGAAATTGTTTCAGCAAGTTCTTCACGTAATTTAGAAGGAATTTCAGCTTGCCCTGCTGACTTGAATAAATCTTAATTTATCTAAATATTCTGTAACCTATTCATTCCCAATTATTAATATGGTTTTAAGCACTTGGTCACATTTAACTGTTATCCTCACAATTAATTATACTTACGACCTTCATAGAATGCTTTGATATCTACCGATAAACATATTATACTCTTGCAGTAATCTTTTTTGGGACCAATGGCCTTTAAGCATGAGATATTTTTGCCAAGATTTGAAGCATATGTTAAGGCCACCTCAGTTACCCCTGGTTTTTGTTCAATGCGTTTGGAAATATTACAACCATATTTAAGTGTCCTTTAAGTGCACAAAAGTAAGTTATCATTTATGTCAGATGGCCCACTGTTTATGGGTTAGCCTTTCATCACTATTCAAGAGAATCAGATGGGAATATTAAGTTTCTACTTGCAAACAAAGTTCATGGTGCGGAGGCAGAGTGGTGTAGGAAACTTTGCATAGTACCGGATCATACAATCATGACAGTTGGTAACAGAAAAGACCAAGTAGTTTATCTTAGCCCATCTCCTAATCAAGACAAAATTATTCATAATATTATATTCTCCAGGGCCTTATACTAGCCTTAAATGTCCCAAGAGATCAGGCTTCTATCCGTTCCCAGGAGAAATTAGTCTATTATGAATACTATTATATGGCAGAATGATATGCTCAGTTTATCCCATGGAACAGGATACAAGTCTTAATTTTCTGATGTCTACTACACAGATGAAAAGTACCCATGATACCCTGCACTTCTTCTCACACAAGCCATGGTCCTAACACTTTAAAGGGCTTAAACTGCCATGTATGATATTTAACTGAAACACTGTGTACCAATTTTCTATTTAATACATTTCTTATAAACAGAAACTCTTCCTTCAAGAACCTTCTTTCCCTTTCTGGCTTCATTCCAATGTCTATAATAGACTATGGATTATCTTTTTTACTCCCAGAATTGTTTTCAGTGTCGGTTTCCTCTTTTCTGTCACCCCTCTACTTCTTTCCTTGTTTAGAACTATAAGAGGGTATGTCTACACAACAAAGTTAATTCGAACTAACAGATGTTAGTTCGAATTAACTTTGATAGGCGCTACACATACAAACCGCTAGTTCGAACTTAATTCGAACTAGCGGAGCGCTTAATTCGAACTAGGTAAACCTCATTCTACGAGGACTAACGCCTAGTTCGAATTAAGTAGTTCAAATTAAGGGCTGTGTAGCCACTTAATTCAAACTAGTGGGAGGCTAGCCCTCCCCAGCTTGCCCTGGTGGCCACTCTGGGCACCACCAGGGAAACTCATCTGCCCCCCTCCTGACTTAATTCGAACTAGCGGAGCGCTTAATTCGAACTAGGTAAACCTCATTCTACGAGGACTAACGCCTAGTTCGAATTAAGTAGTTCAAATTAAGGGCTGTGTAGCCACTTAATTCAAACTAGTGGGAGGCTAGCCCTCCCCAGCTTGCCCTGGTGGCCACTCTGGGCACCACCAGGGAAACTCATCTGCCCCCCTCCTGGCCCCGGAGCCCTTAAAGGGGCACGGTCTGGCTACGGTGCCCATGCCAGGTGCAAGCCTGCCA